GCACTGGGTGAAGCCTGAGCATGGGTGCACTGAGAGTGTGTTGCTGTAGCAGGCTGGGAAACCAGAGTGTGATGCACACAAACACAGTTGAGTAGTTATCCAAAACAAGCATGGGCCTTAACTGGGAAGACAATGCAACAAAACACCAAGAGATAGATCGCGGAGACGACAAGCCATGGTCTGAGATAAGAAAAACACAGGAGTCAACACAAAGCCAAGGGGTGATCCGGGAGACAAGGTAATAGTAAGCAAGCAGGAGTCAGAGTACCAACAAAGCGAAACAAGGGAAACAAAGAAATGGAGCTCAAGGGGCTCAGTGTCTAAACTCAATGAAAGAGCTCTGAGCTCCCTTTGTTTCCCTTGTTTCTCTTTGTTGTTTCACTGTCAGGTCTGAGTATTTATACTGAAGAGCACCTGGACCAACCATGGTTGTAAACTGACACCAGGTTGCTTCAAGGCTCCAGGTGACTTGTTTCCTCAATGGCCAACCAAGATAGGGAGATAGGCGAGGATGACGTAAGTGGCTGCCACAACACAGCTAAATCACTGTCATAAACATGGCTGTACTCCCTGCCCTTAAGCATCAAACTCCAGAGATTTCATGGAGAGGTCAGGTGGGCAGTGTTGGGACTAATCAACGCCTCTTCCTTAAGACGACAGATCTTTTGGCTCATCTTCCACAATATACTCTGCAATCACAGATGGCTGTGTAAAGTGAGAAGTTGCTGCAAACTCTGGCACTAAAACATGCACTTTCGAGCAAGCAGGAGTCAAACCACTGGGAGTTACAGTGTTCAGGTCAAACAGCAAGAAATAACTCTTCTCACAAAAACCTCAGGACCAAGGGGCAGAACTGAAAGAGCAGAGCTGGGGCTGCCACTGAAGCAACAATGAGCAATACAGCACTGAGCCGAAACTCTGCCTGCTTCATGGCATCAACTGTGTGGCGAGCAAGCTAGTTCTCTCAGGCCCATCTGTTAAAATCCCATAGCTGAAGGCTGACAGGTAGGATTGCACAGCATATCGCCTTTGCCTGCTACATTCATGATTGGCTCAGTCATTCTCTTATATTTCTGCACTAAGCAGGGGTGTGCAGTGGCCTAAGGACGGGAGAATGAATCCAATAGCTGGACCGGGAAGACGGTAGATAAACAAGCCAAAGGGAATCTGAGAACACGGTCAAACGTAGGAGCGAGGGTCAGTACACAATTGGTCAAAACTGGAACAAACTGGGATCGCATCCACAACAGAAGCGCTAAACAGGAAGGGAAGCAGTGTTAGTAAACATGCCAGAGACTCAGGGAATAATCTGTAACACTGAGTCCTGAGCAGTGGATGAAGCAGAACTTAAACACCAGAAGAAATATCAGGAATAATAAGGTAAGTACCTAATTAATTAGAGGCAAGGGACACAATAGTTGTCCATAGCACATATAGACAGCTCTGGCAGCAGTTTCAGCCCTCGTGGAGACATGGCTAGTTACTGTAGAGCCATAGGAATGTGAGCTGGACTCACAAATATATGGAGTTATAGCAACTCTATAGATTTGTAGAAATAAAACATAATGATGAAATGTGCAGGTGGCAAGTGACATGAGATCCCCTTAGAGAGTAAAACACTGTCCTTGTATGAAAATTGTACTAGAGTATTCCAGAATTACCTTTATGTTGCCCTCTGCAGACCCAGTAATAAAGTACTCTTCTGTGGGATCAACAGCAACAGCTTTAACAGGAGAGTCATGGGCCTGGAAGGTCTGTCTCTGTTGCTTCTGGCACAGGTCAAACACATAGATGAAACCTTTTCTTCCACCTGAGATCAACACCTGGTGCTTTGGGGCATATGAGAGCACCGTTGCTCCACTGTCATGGCAGGTGAAAGCTAGAACAGTAAATTAAAAGAAAAACTAAGAATTTTCTTCCTTACATAAAACAATAGAGTGTTTACAGATTTGTCTCTGAATAATTTCTTTATAATCAGAAACTAGTGTGAAAACATTGATAACAACTCACCAAAATGGTAATTCACATGCATTTAATGACTTTATTTTAAAGTACACTTCTCTGAATAGATTGGCAAACTAGGAAAGCTGAATTTCTTGTCTATATAAAGTATGGATCATCATTATCCACTCCCTGAATACAGCATGGAAAGGCACATATTGTTTTAATAATGCTATCATCATTTAAGCAATTCATGTTACCTAGGAAACTCTAGTTTGTTATAAAGTTACAAACATATGTTGTAAATGTAATTTGTCCCATTAATGTAGACTACCAAACAATCTAGCATCAAAGTATCAGCTTCTAGACTTATCTAAGACAAACATTTGTTACAGTGCAAACATGACAAATGACTTTTTATCTCTGTAAACTGAGGAAGGCACTACTAAAGTAAATACTCTATTTGTGATTTGCTTTGACAAAAATTTTCAACCTAATGCTGCACCTCAGGATCAAAAAATGAAAAAATCCATGTTAATTATTGCTACACTATTGAACAGGTAGAGTAAAATGAAAAACAGATTTGTGTATATGAAGAGCAAAATAAATCAACAGGTTCCCAGCAACAAAGCCCAGGATATACAACTTTGACCATGATGACACAACAGAAAATCAAGTTACTATTCAGTGGATCTATTGTGCTCAACGTATGTCTACTTGAAAAATCATAAGTAAAACAACTAGAAAAAAAATAAAGAGGCAGCAGATATTTCGAATAACCCCTGAAAAAGATGTTGCATATTTTCCAATATTCAGTCTGTAAAGGATTTATTTACCATGCACAAGACTGTTGACAGGAGAGACTAGTGTATCCCACAGACATACATTCCTAAGGGAAAACAAGAAAAACATCATTATAAACATAGCAGTGAGGAAAATCTGTATATTTTTCTAACAAATGGCATCAATACTTATAAAGTGATTTCAGCAATGTATGTGAACTGATATTAGCAGCCTACAACACTCTTAATGTTATTTGTATGTTAAAGCATTATCTTAGTGCCTTTATGTATACCACCATACCTGTTATCACTGGACTGTCCTGCTGTTGCTATCAAAGAAGATGAGCCCACGAAAACAAAGTCATTGGCAGTTTTGTTGTGACACTGCAAAGTCTATGGAAAAAAATACAATTTATTTGAAAGAAACAAGTCAACCGATTCATTGCCCTAAGCACAGCTGAAAGGCTAATTCTGCTTACCAGATATGGCTTTGGTGTACTTCCTATTGTACTGGTCTGCCAAAGTCTCAAAGCTCCATCTGCATCAACAATGCCGAACTGTGTTAAAAGTAAAATAAATATCAAAAAGGGCAGAACAAAAAGAAGAAAAAAATTGTGAACGTCCTAGGTAAGTGTAAATTGCCATTTATTTGAGACATAATCATAATTTGATCTATATCAAAGTCCTGATAAAAATATAGATAATATTTGTCTAGACTTTCTATCAGTATTTTAAGTATATACCCAAGAGAACAAATCATGTCTAAGGGTAAGGAAAACTTTTATTCCATGAACAGCTCAGTTTGGTCCTGCTGTCACATTTCAGTGGGGTTTAGGTCTGGACAAAAAAAAGCTAAATTTATTCTGTGTAAGCCTTTCTTTTGTACATTTTCTTGTATGTTTAGGATCATTGTTTTGCTGCATGACACACTCTCTGCTCAGCTTCTGCTGACAAATGGATGCTCTGACATTCTTCTTTACAAATTGCCAATACATGACGATCCCCACTGATGGAACTATGAAGTCCAAACATGAATGAGTCTGGATCCTGAGAAAGCAAAGCGTGATACTGCCAAAACACGATACTGCCTCCAGCATGGTTGAGCTTCATCTGTTGGAAGGTAGTGTTTGGTCTGTGCCATAAAAAACTATTTCTTATTGGGGCTGAAAGTTCAACTTTTGATTAATTTGTCCAGAGAATGCTTTTTCCAGTGATCAGGCACCAATCTTCTTTGTAGAGAGAAAAAGCTTATTCCTGGCTATCCAGAAAACCATTTCCATTCAGTTGTTTTCTGATGGTTGATGACGTTAATTACAGTGAGAGAAGCCTGCACATCATAAGATGTTACTCTGGTTTCTTTGAGACTGATGGATGATTTCCCAAGATGTTTTTCGGGAGATCTTTGAAAGATGACCAGTCCAGTCCCTGGTAGGATCACCCTGATCTTCAAAATTTTTCATTTCAAGACTGTATAATTGTGGATGGATGGTGACCCAGATGTTTTACAAATATGTCTTGACAACCTCTCCAGAGATGATGACCATCAACTATTCTTTTTCTGATTTCTTCAGAAATATTTTTTGTTTGTGGAATGATGTATTTCTATGAACGTCTGTGATGAAGATCAAATTCACAAAGTTTCTGTCATACGTATACTGTAACACATGGTTGCCAAAAGTTAGTCCTTGTTTCCTTCTTACCCAATTATTTGAAGCCTGGTTTTCATTACCCCGTTAACTGAGCAAAGTAAACAGTTATCAGTTATCATTATCTCACATATACTGATTCTTAACCAATCATTTTTTCTACTTCATATACAACTGCATTTCAAAAAGTTCAAATTAGTTAAACTAAACCTTTTGGATTATTTAAGAAAAAAACAGGTTTCAGCTACACAAGAGTATCATGATATTAAATTGTTATTATCATAATTATATTCATTATATTTTGGATTCACAAAACTTGACAGCAGTGTACTGTATATTATAAAGTAAACAAAATGATAAAAATGAACCTCTTTTTTAATTCCTAATAATTTACTTTTAACCTTTTAATAATATTCTTTAGCTCAAAATGATCCGAACGCTCATATGTATACTATGCCAGTCAGGAATATGCACTGGCTAGAAATGTATAATTCCTCTATATCATGTATTATCAAAAATCTCACTAATATTAGAGGAATAAATAACGTTAATGACATATATCACCCATAACATCAACAAACTGTCTCAGACAAAAACCTTGTGTTTAAGGTCTCATTAATCAAGTAGTTGAGAGTACAGCAGACACAAAAACATTAGAAAAGAAGGAAGTACCTTGTTGCCCTGATAATTAAACCTAATCCTGGTCACCCTGGAGTTCCCTGGACTGCGGAAACAAATTATCTGCTGGGAGTGCCCCCACTCAAACATGCGGACACTGCCGTCCTGTGCCCCTGTCAGATCTGTCACATTTGAGAAAATCATTGTAAACAATCAAAGATCAAGTCCATATCACAACTCAAAATGTTCTCATCTAGACTGCTTGTGAATAAAATGATACCATTCATGTAGAATGTACAGCATTTTTTATCTCACAAAAATGCTTTGCAATAATACAAACAAAATACAATTAAAGAACTGTGTACAAGAAGCAACCACACACAATTAGCAAAATATACACAAATGCAGGTTATTGAATCGTCATAGCTAAACAGAAAAGTAACCACACACTTTGTTATACCTTCCTCCTAAATTTTATTATTACATAACAAAGAAAGACAACATCTCAAGAACAATAAGGATCAATTTTTAAGGACTGTGCCAAACTGAGTAAACATATCTCATTGCAAAAGGTATGGATATGCTCTATCTGTATACAATGTAAAAGTTACCATCTATCATTCTGGCACCTACAGTTGTGAGCACCATGCAATCAACGAGAAAAATACCACAAGCTGTCAGCTGACAGTTTGGCAGGTCATTCATCAAACAAAACTTCATGTACGAAATAACACCTCTGTTCAAGCATCATTAGTAGTAGTTTTAACATCTCAAAAAAAGGGTTTGTAGCTACTTTAGCAAGAGGACCAAAAGATTTAGAAATGTGTTTTAGAAGATAGAAAGAAAAATTAATTGCTTACAATATGGTAAGGTTGGGTGGGATGCCATTCTTCTCACATTATTTATATTCCTTTTGATCATCTATTAAAAAAAGAGAAGAAATGCTAGCATAATTTCAACAGAATGTTCACTACTTACATAAAGAGCGGACATACAGTAGCTAGCAAAGAATGAAACGATACAGCATTGAAAACAAATCTGTCATGACATACTGATTAATGAGAATGGACACTCAGCACTCAAAATAAAGGTCAGTGCAAAGGTGGATGATGGCATTCACAAAATAAGGCACATAGAACATCACAAGTCTGACATAATGCATTAGCACTTTCACCCATCACTAGAATGACCCTGCCTCACTGAACACATAGCAAATGGCCAGACCTTTTTACTTTAAGCACCATCTACACATACCTGCATTATATGTGCTCCTGAAACTAGTCTTACCTCCTTTTTTGTCAAATCCTTTCTGATCCCATTTAATTTAGCTGAATTTTCCTGAATAGTGAATGATTAGCAACACAGAGGAAGAGGCATGTAAAGGAAACAGAGGTAAACAGAAATGGTTTAACTAAAAAAAGGAGCAGGGACGGTAACAAACATTGAGGAACAGGGAACAGGGAGCATTACATGCCTTCCATGCCTCCTGGGAGCACATGAGCCACCTCAAACTGAACTTCGCCAACCCTGAGAAAACGGCCATTTCAATTAGTGCTGTGATAAACATGCACATAGCTTAATGAACCTATTTTTAGATGTATTAGATTAAATGCTTACTGCAGAGAGCACTGCACTGATGTACTGTACCACAGCAATTCGCCATGCTGTGCAATTAGGCACTGATTTGGCAGAGAGAAAGGGTAAGGTATGCCTTTGTGACAACACAACACCATCCCTCTCTCCGCAAGTGGAACGAGGACCTGTGGCTTTTGAAGAAGCGATTGAGGGCACGTAACATTTATTACCGTTTGACAGTGAATGAACATCAAAACATTTGCTCATCAAACCTGTTTTCTGAAGTACTTATTTTCATACTAGTCAAAATCAACCTGTTAAGAATGCAGCTGTACTGTACAACAGAGGTGAAAATTTGTTTATGTATTCAACGGCACTACACCATAAGTTTTACATGCCCTTTAAGGTTAGAAATAGAAAAAAGTAGTGTAGATAGTTTTGTACAACAAAATGTACAGATTCTGTAAATTGGGACTACTGTTAAGCAGTGAATCCAACAGATAAAACAAAGGAACACCAAAACGTAGTATACATGAAGACAACAGAAATATTTGAAGTTGTGCACTAGCAGGCTATCCGATTGTTTTGCATATTGTCCTATTACAAAGAGACCACAGCAGCAGAGAAAACATACTAGTGTTTTAGTTAAGGTTTGGTCCCACAGATAACCAAGAGGGAATTGTGTGGTCAGTAAATTGATGACCCCTCAGATTATCCCATACCCACCCACATGTGGACAGTCAAGTATTATCATCACTATGATATCACTCAGTGATAGATAGGTGGTGACTTGATGCAATACATTCCAGGCAGTGAAATGTCTCCTGTTCTCTGAACAGTTTTAGTTTTGTAATACATCCTGGATTATAATGAAGATCCCTACCATTTTTTTTTATTTACTCAAGGGTGTCTTAAGACTTTAACAATGTTTTGGAATATAACTGATACTGAATTTATAGACTCAATATAAGCTCCTTTGTACCAATACAGTGCTAATATTCTCTTTAGAATTGTTATATCACGTTTAAATCAAATACAAAAAGAGTTTAATAAAGTTTTCCAATTTTACACTCACTTTATAGATTCTGATGTAAAGATTGGTATTATTTTATTTTATTCTAAACACAAAACTATAATACAGTAGTTTTATTTGTGAATCGTGTTATAATTACATCATGCATTTACTTGTTTGTACAAATGAACAACATCAATATCTATAGGCTGACTGTACTATCTATAGTACATAGATATGGGCATTCAAGCAAAATATACCAAGTATCCACTCTGCAATAATTATTTAACAGTTTTATGAACCCTTATTTAAAACTAGCTTATCTCTATCTGGCACCACCTAGTGGTCTTTAAAACAAATACTATGGTTCAGATTACTGAATTTAAGGTTAATGCAGTTAATTCTCTATATACTGTAAGCAATCACGATCTAAGAAATGCTGTGTAACTTGACAGAAATGTTTGATGTACAAACAAAACAATCCTACAAAATATGAAATATAAACTAGAAAGTAGATAAAACTTAGAAAAACCCTAAAACTGATTTTAAGAAACCTCTAGGAAACTTATTTCCTTTCATCACCAAAATCATTACTCTCATCATTGTAAATAATAACTGAAACTGTAAATAGTACCATTTTGAGGAATATAAAAAGATCAAATGTCTTAAAAGACCTGAGAAGTCATGGTATTCTACAATGTGAAAACATATTTATTAAATCAATTAAAACAAAAAAGTTATTATATATATTTTAAGAAACAGCATGGGATAACATACCACCAAAATGTAGGTCTTTGGTAGTGTTCATAAATAAATATCAATGGGGTACGTATTCTATTAGAAAACATTTTAAAATGTATTTTTAAAATACTTCTACTGAAAAGAGCTTTAGCTTTGAAAACAGAATGGGAGTCCACTGGTTTATTTACTGAAGATTAATTCTTACTCTCCTTTTACCAACATTATTTGCCTTGTGGAGTAGTGCTGCTTAACTCTGATAAGGCAGTGATGTCCCAAGACATCAGCACAAAACATCACACACCCTGATTAAATGAATGGGAGGACAATCCGTGCCATTGTATCATTTCATTTTCATAGCCTACATATTTCAGCACAATGGTTAAATTATATTAAAATCACTTCTGTTTCTATCCAATTGCACCAGGGGTAAATAATGATGGACCTAAAGAATTATGACAGGATTCACAGAACTAAAAACTCTTTAAATGAAAAAGATTTCAAGAAACAGTTAAACTGGAGCCATATTTAATACATATCACAGCTGTAAGCATTTTTCTTTATAGAACACAATGCTCGGTCTAAATTGAAGATAGGAAATTGTGATATAGATTTCTTGAAATTATAGTTAGGATGTCCTGTCTTTGGTGAATCACAGAGGCTTGCTGTTGTGTGGCAATCCATCTGCTCTCACTTTGAAATTATTAGTCATGGTCAGTTAGGTCTCAGCTCAGTCTCGTATCAGCAGTGTCTGAACTGCAGGACAGAACACATGCCCAACTGAGCACCATTCCTGGTTGTACAACAGGGGAAGCCCAGGGTACCCACTATTGTTGTCAAATTCATGAAGGAAGTAATACACCTTCAAAAACTTGAATAATGCTTTTATAAAATGTTCATTCTTTTGAAAATAATGTAGGAAATGAAGGATGACATTGCCCAAGCTGACACTCACCACAGATGCTCCCCTGCCAGTCTGAACACTGCCAAGCCAAGGCATGTTAATAGGGGTCCCAGGGCTGCTGGGAGTATATGGGGTAGAACCCTGTATTGTGCCATAATCGTCACGTGCATGGATCACCAAGAAATCATCGTTTCTAAAAATCAGGAATGAAAACAACAGAATACACAAGGGAACACAACGTTTTCCAAAGAAATCCTACATTAAATACAAATTACAGCAGTGCCATAGTTTAGCACCCTTAAAAGCAAGCTTGGAAAAATAACCCCCTTTATGGTATTTTAAATGCAAAATTTCAAATGTAATTGAAAGGATTTGCTTCTCAATCTCTTTTAATAAACTGATTGTCTTTGCTCATCCACAGATGATTTTGTCCTACAAAGACTTAAATTTCATTTCCTTAACTTCAGTGCAAATATTTCACAGCCACTATCTGTAAATCTGAGCAAAATAAATGTCTTTTTTTTTCTATAAACAAAACTATTCTATGGGAAACTCTCAAAAAGAGAAAATGAAAAATACCCCACATCCTTGTAGATAAATGTTACTGTATTAAGCATTAGATATTGAGTGAGTTCTCTTAGACAGCCACAGAAATAGAGTACAACACTAATCAGTGGAACAAACACTTATCAATTGCCTTTTAATTTCCCATCCTAAATGAAACCCAGATGAGCGAGGCTGAGAAAAGGATATTTTTTTTTCTTTCCTGTGTCTATAAAATGTGTTTTCAAAACTAATTTCTTACCCTTTGTTCTCCAGATCTACGTCATCATCAATCCAGGTTAATATCTGAGTAGCTAGAATTGCAGAGACATCCAGTTCCTGAATATTTTGAGTTGAAGCTATTGCTATGCAATTCCGATTAGCCTGAACACAAAAAGACAAAAAGAATGTGAAGGTTCTACTCTCTTCCCCTTATATGATGATTTATTTTCCGATATATATTTTAATAAAAACCTGTGGGTACAAAGTAATCCGTAAAATTCCCCAGCGCCCTCTTACCTTATTGATAGCAAATGCAGTTATGATGTCTGACTCTTTATGAATAATTCTTGCTTTTCCTCCAGGATATCCCAGGTCTGCTTCTATCTGTGGTTGAAATAAATAATTTTCAATCACATTAGTTGAAAACAAAAATGAACCTCAAAATTTAATATTTATGGGATATGTAACATCTCACTGAAGTGTTACTGGCGCAATAACTGTTCCAGCCTATGCCATAATTTAAAATCTATCTATATCATTTGGATGCTTGACTGCTAATTGATCTGAGGATCTCAACCAGCTACTTCTCTAATTAAGCCAATATATTAGCTTTGATAACACAGTCTCTTCAGGCTTGTCCCAGACTCCCATAGAGTTTATGTATAAAATGCCTCCTTTAAAATTTATTTTAAACGCACTTCTCCTAGAGTTTCTATTTGTGACCTCTGGATAGTGAAGAAGTCCACTAGACTTGTTAATGTTTCTGATGATTGTGAGTTCTTGAATCATGCCCAATCATGCCCACTTTGTTTTCTATACTCATGTATGACTTTGTGGCATAGTGCATCACATTTCATACTAAAAACATATTTTAAATCTTTTGACTGCAATTCTGTTCACAGTTTCTGTGATTGTAATTGATATCTAGGTTTTAACACTTGATTAAATTCATTAGACCCAGGTGCTTTAGTACATGTCAATAGTTATTTTTGCCTTGTTTGTAACAAATGTATTTATATGTAAAATGATGTTTTTTTTTAAACTCATATGGCCAAATAAAGTGTTTAGGATTATACTGAATTCCCTGATGGAAAAAAAGGGAAAAGATAAAAATAAGGCAACAAAACAATTACAAAAGGGACTAAAATTGTAATTGTAAGGATCTCTTAAGTATGATGGAGATGGAGCAATGTTAAATGAAACTTGAAAACCTTTCCATCCATAATCTCTCGTGACATCTGACTGAATGAAGTTCCAAAACAGACACTGCTTCCTGTTACAGAATTTTTTAAAAATATTATGTAACAGTCAAATGCATTTAACCTTTTTTTTTAATACCAAAGAATGGCATATGCTTTAAATTACAAACTGTAATGAAATGAAGAATTGGACATCTACTTAAGCAAAATTATACATTAGGAAAATTGCTACACACACTGCTACAATTTAATTATTTTTTTAATTGAATGACTCATCTAATTACATAAGAATCTGTATTAGTTATGCACAAGTTACTATAACAGTAATATGCTAAAAAGATTAAATGCATTGTTGTATGAACATGAATTAAACATTGGCTCATTAAACTACTCTTAAAATTTCCAATAAACCCATACAATATCTACAGTATGTAGCAAGTTGATATCTGTGCGTACAAATGAGTCAATTAACTGAAAACCAGACTGCTTTTGTGAACTTGATTTATCAAAATGTAAAGTGGAAAATTATCATTGTCTCAACAGACTGAGTCTATAAAGTTGTTTAAAAAGTTAAAAAATAAATGTTCACAAATCAGGTAAGTCTTTCCATTAGAAATTTTCAAACAGAAATACCAACAGTGCATTGACAATGCTTACTGTATTTACATAATATTGAGTATGTACATAACTTGAAGAAAAGTCTTTCTTTCAATTAATATTTAATAGGAAATCAGTAAAAAGAACTGATAATCTTTATAGTAAGACTGGGTTGGATCTGTATGCGTCTATTGGAAAACTGAATACTTATAATCAGACTATTATTCATTTGTACCTTGTTGATGCTAGGCTCCTCCATCACAGTATTTTGAACATTGTCACTGTAGTCCTCTATCGACTTAATCATTGGAGTAGCCACAAGACAGACAAAAGAATGAGATGAAACATGCAAAGCAAAAGGAAAAAAATCTACAGTTCATTAATAATTAAAATAAAAGAAAAAAAATTAGTATGTAAAATATTGATGTGAACAGAAAGGGTTTAAAATGTTCTACAAAATCTAGTTTTAGTAAACAAGCAAGTTGCTGAAATCACAGGAAGAGATCAAAGTGTTAGAGTAAGTAGAATTAATAGGCATTCTTTTAAAAATGTTTTAAAACCAAGCAAAGCTCCAGCCAGATGGCATTAGGCCAAAACTATGCACACTACAATGCTAGACAAAATGTCTGTTTAGGATTTGTACCTCATTTTGACCCCTTTTCTTTGTGAAAATGTTCCGAATAAAGGTCTCCTGTATCTCCTCCTGTTTTACCAGATACTGCCACAGTCTCTTCACAGGAAGGGCAGAGTGGTGGATTGACCTTTAAAAAACATGTTATAATAAAGTTCTTTCTAAAGATTTAGAACACGGCTATGTGAATGCAGAACCTCAATAATTAGTTTTTCAAGTAAAGTAAAAGACCCTGCCATATAAAGTATTAAAAACATTACGAAAATTAAACCTTCCTTCAGTGATGCAAAAAAGTGATCTAATGTAAGTAATTTATTTAAAGGGATGTACTCTACACATACAATATTTTGTCATTCAATAAAATCAGGTTAAACTGTAGTCACATGTGAAGATGCACTAATTTCTTGAAGCAATCTATTTTCAATACATGATAAAACAGATCAGTTATCTATCTTGTGTATAACACCAAACTAATCAAGATCCAGAGCATTCCATGGAAACTCAATTGATAAAACAGATTGTAAAGGGCACAAACATGTTTTTTCAGTATTAATTAATTCAAGATCCTATATAATATAAAATCATTCACTGCACTGTTCAACATTTGTCAGTTTTAAAAGCATACAGAACAGAAGTTGAGCATACAGAAATTACAGAAGATGTTTTAGCATGGTTGTGTGACAACTGGAATGATCTTAAAAGATCACTGGTTAAACTGGACTAGTTCTGAATCTACTCCCATTTAACATTCTTTAAGAAAGGGACAGTCAGATAGGGATAGAATGACTTCAACAAATGTATTAACAGAATTCCTAAAAAAAAAGTTATTAACAAGTAAATGGGCAAGATGAACTCAATGGCCACCAACGACTTGGGCAGTTGTTGAGGTAGTATAGCCGAGCGACCTGGCATTCACATGGGTATGACAGATGTCACGTTAAATAATTACACACTGGTGTGAATAACTGTTTTTGAAGACCGTCCTCTGAACACAACTACAGCCCCCATTATAAGAGTGTTGTGGGTTTCTTAATTTCAATTATATTTCCTAATAATTATCTGTTTTTCTCTTGAATTTTGTTGGTTGCAAGGTCACATTAAAGATTGAAAAATGTCTGACATGATTTATCTTGATTTCTGACTTTACATCACAAAACCCTGCATTTTCAATAAGGTGTTTAGACAATTTATATCCACTGTATGTTGCCGTCTAGTAATAACTACTTGCCATAGTTCGTGGATAGACACACCAATCTGGATGGAACAGATCTTTTGGCACTATTCGCAGGGCAATGCAGACAAAAGTTTAGCCCAGCAGCAAGCCACCCTTATCTTTTCAAAACCTGTATTTCCAAAACACATGCTTGAGGGCATCACATAGGCTAGCTACTCCTTTCAATTTAAAATATACCAGAGATCTGCAAATGTGATTTCACACCAAGCAGGGGATATAGCTTAAATTAATATCAACCAGGAAATGCTTTATAATAACAGTCTACCCCAAAAATGCACCCACCGAAAAGGAGTGTTAGATGGCTCCAAAAGTGCCTTGTGGCGGAGGATGGCAGGACCTGCCGCAGGGGCATCATCAACGGTATGTGTTGAAATAAACTTGGAAGGTGGACCACCAATAATCTCCAGTCTTCTGAGCAGCACCTGCTCCCACCTCTGCAAAGTCTTCAGGACAGCATGGCAAAGTGGGGTGGCAACTGGCAGCTCTGTATATTAAACATACAAGCACGTCTCTATTGTCAGCCTCAAAACGATGCTGTGAAGTAAGATCAGTCTGCTGTATAACAGAAATAAATTGGCGCATAATTTAAGTTAACTAACATTTGTTATCAATCAAACATAAAATTTAGCTTTTTCTGCATCCCTACACCAGTTCCACAACATCTGATAGTGATCTACCTTATTATTAAAATTAGGTGACACAAACACTGGAACTTTTATTGTTCAACCATTCTGATCTAGAATTAAAAAAGAATAACTCCATACAGAAAGAAATGTATTTCTTGTCTGCAGACCCTCAGGACTTGAAGCACAAAGAAAATCGTGCTTTTCTTTTTTTTTCTCAGTAGACAATCTCTGTTGCTAGACTTTTAGAAGAAATTCGGCTGCTGTATAACATTCCTGAAGAGCTATCAATGAAGTTACCAGTATAATGTATTTTACACATAAAATTCCTACATTTTGGCACAGAAAGTTTTTAAAATCTCAGATGGAGATTTTACAAAACTTTACAACATAACATGGAATGTGTAACATAAAACCTAAAAAAGTATGCTAGCATAAAATCAACATATTTAGATACTCTTCATAGCAGCAAGCTTCTAAATTATGATTTTTTTATTGCTCAATTTAAAACAGGAATACATTAGATACACACAAGTGTGTACACTATTAGCTCAAAATAAAACTAGTATTATAGATATAACTATCAAAGTGTAAAAAGCTCATTTCTATTGTGAACTGCTACAATGCTGTTGTTTTCTCACATAAAAACAGGAATTTACTCAGATTAAAGAAAAAATGGCATGCCTTAGCTCTTAATTCATTTACAGTACATCAAATATAATTTGATGTATACCCAAGTCATTCATGTTACTAAATTGGCAAAGCAGACATCTCAGTCATTGTCTGATAGAAATAGCATGGTCACAATATCATCAGTCACAGCCCTTATCCTCCTCTCGCCTTTCTATGATGCACAAGAATTATCAACAAAAGTTATCAAATAAAATAGGATAAACCGCCAAATTCAGCATCTTTCATTGGCAAAATAGATATATCATATAAACACATGCCACAGTACACGAATGTAGCATAAAAGGAGGACAAACACAACGAAAGAAATGGAAACGTTACCCGATAGATCATGCCCCACCATTGGATAGAAGGATTTCAGATTGAATAGTACCATTTGCACCATAGCCAGTCGCATTAGTGACCAGCTGTAAAAGATAAATAACACAACAGTGTTCACACATATGACAAACATATTAAAATACACAGTTTTACCCTGTTGGTCTTTAAAACCACATCATGTTCCACTTGCAGATAAAACATGTAAGGCATGATGATGGCTTAACACACTACATTATATGCAATTAGACTCCCAGTTGGACAGCACATTTAACAAATGAATAGATTCTAAACTGCATAATGCTATAACACACATAATAATGCAAAATGAAGAAATCAGAATTTAAATGAAAGCAAAGGATTTGAATTTAATAGGTGTGAAAAAGCAGTTGGGGAATTCCCTAATACCTGTATGAGTTGGGATTGGAATGTTCTTGTAGTTGTGTATCAGAGGCAAAAACATCATCTTCTTCATCATCGCTACCTTGGCTTTCTTCAGAGTCATACTCCACTCGGCTTTCAGATTGTGGAAGGAAGGGCTTTTCGAAAATTACAAAACAAGATAGATGATTATTACTCTGGAAAACTGTACGAAAAGAGTAACATCTTAGAGTCTAGGATGGTCATATACACAGGTTAATGCTCCTGTTATTCATTGAATTGTAAGTGTAAAACCTTAAAGCAGCCATCTACTAATTCTATTAAACTTTTGTACTTATGACATGTTCAGAAATTAACTGGCTCCTGGTGAAGCACCAAAGTCAATCCTCACTTCTCTACTGAATTTGCTCTGTAGTGTGGCTGCAGGCACAGAAAAGCTGCTGTGCATTATCATGTAGGTGCTGCACTTCAGCTGTGGATAAAAGGAGACCTCACCTCTGAGTGAAGTACTTTGGGATCATCTGGAATGAGAAGTACTATACAAATGCAAGAACTTTAATGCTTATATTTCTGATAAGTCATTACACTTCTCTTTTCTATAATCATCCTACTATCATACAATAATTATGAATTGAGTCTAGAAGCAGGAGAAAAAAAATCAAAGACGTAGTATGTGTAGATACCTTTGCAATGAAATAGTCCCAGATGCTAAGCTCAGGAGGGACAAATTTTTCTTTTAAAATGGGCATTTCTTGTTCGAATACAGGGGATGTTGGGCTTTGCAGACTCTCTCTACTGGCGCTCTTTGTTGAAAGGAACTTGAAGCGCTTGTGATTCTTCACCTCCGACTCATCACCTACACCAGTGATTAAAACAATAGTAAAATACCAGATTGAGAGTATGCCATATAAGGACTATTTCAGTATGTCAAGATGTCAATATTAACAAAAATACACAGTACAATGCCCAAGTTCATGTTTTAAACGATAATTACTTGATTTCCTTACCATAATGACAATTATATGATAAATATTTACTATATCAGCAGTTACTACAAAAATTAGTCAGGAAAAATAGTTACAAGTTAATACTTTTAATGGTTTCTATACTTTGTCCACTTAACTTCTGTATTGAGAACCACGTAATACAATATTTTAAAATACACAGTAATAAACAATCACAAATTTGATAAAATACATTTAATTGGATATTAACTGTAGGTAGGACCAATTTCAAATGCAGTTAAAGGATATTTCACGCAAACCATTAGCAACATTACATGTAGAGAATAAAGCTATAAAATCTTATAGAGAATAAACAGAATATTAAGATATACAGCCTCAGTGGTGACAGTTTATAGGAGAGTCATAGTCAAGCAAGCATTTGTCTGCTGAGATGGCTATCTATTGTGTATGTAATTGTCCAAATGAGAGAAGACTCTATTGACTGAATGTGAAGACCTCAAATGTAATTAAACCAATGTTTGCAAAAAATATAAAAACCTTTACATTGAACCGTGTTTATCTAATCACATATTATCATCATATATAAATAACAGACAGCATGTAAACCAGGCTAATACAATAACACCATAGATTTCCATTTGGAAACCTTTCTAATAGGAATGATTTTACTAATTTATGAGTATGACAATTTCAAACTGCATTAAACATTTTATAAAGAAGTACTTAATACCAAAATACACAAAGTTAGAGTGCAAATGTAAAAATTCTGTAAGTGAAATCATTGAGTCCACAGAGATCCATATGGTAAATTTGTTGCTTGGTTCAGTTTATTAACCAATGCAATAAGGAAAGAAAAATCAAACTGCACCAGTATGGACTGGATTTAACGTAACAGATGGCCAATAAACATCCAAAAATCATGCCTAATAACAAATGAAACCACATTATGTACTGACACTTGCTTAAATATATGGGATATTGACTGAAAGATATCTCACAAGGATTTGAAGGAGAGCTATCGCTTTTCCAAGAGAAGCATCAATTTCATGTCAGTCTGCAGTGGAGGATGAGCTTTAACTACACTCTGATTACTCCATAAAACCAATTTCATTCAAGAAAACTATTCTCTACTAATTCATCAGCAAAAGTCAGAGTAAACTCAGCACAGAACATTAGAACAATTTCAAACAAGAGAAGGCCATTCAGTTCATCTAGTTTGTTTGGAAGTAGCTAAATTGTTCCAAGGATCTTATCTAGCCATTTCTTGAAAAACACCAGGGTACTGGCTTCATCAGAACAACCCATTCCATCTGCTGCTCAATATTCAAGTCTATGTTAACAAATAAGGATTTAGCCATGATGCAAGGCATTAACAGCCTATTCTATTGCTAAATAAGCTGTACTGAGCCCTGTTGACCCCATTTTCTGTAGATCTGATCAATTATAAGTGGTTACGATGGTATGGAAGAGCAATCTTTTTTCTTTGCTGCATTTAAAGATCGACAACCAAGATAAGGGTGGTCACTTAAAATAACAGTTGCCATTAGATTAGTTATAATCTAAAAGAAGCTAACGGTTTCTTTATTGGACATTAACCAGGGCATAGTCTCAACTTGCACCAATATCTTCCAAAACTGGCTTTGTGGTGCCATGACCTTTATTAGGAATAAGCAGCTTTCTAATAAAAGATGACTGGGTAGATTATCAATTAATTCTTCTTAATTTAAAGGAAAACCACCAGACCCCAATCTCAAAAAAAGCTGCCATCAGCATCTACAGTATAAGCTTAAAACAGAATACCACAACCTTTCTTTAAGTTGTATTCATCGTAGTTAAAACATCAACCATTTCAAACTACAGACTTCCTGGAACACAAAAGTTGAATCACCTGTAACAGATATTTAAAATTATCCAAAAACTTTATCCACACAAGAAAAGTGGTGATTTTATTAAAATTAAATATAGTCAAATAAATAAAATAAATTGTTTTATTACAATGTGAAAGTGATCACAGTGCCTTCCTCAAATATTGTAAAGCAACTAATCTCATTTTCTCATAATTTTGATGATTGGATTTATTACCTTCTTACAGATTAATGAAAATACAAGTGAATACTGAATGAAGGTGGAGCAGCTAAGCATCACAGATTCTGCTAAAGAATATCTCCTGCTAACACATCAACCTACAAAGACTCCCTCAAAATGATGTGATGCACTCTGATATCGACACCCACTTATTTCTCTCAACTGCCTTGTTCAATATTTACATTTAAAAAAAATGTAAAAACCTACCAATTGTGCTTGACTATGGATAAAGCAGTTAAAATATTTACAAACATTTTTATAAAAATATTTCTTTTAAGAACGCCCTCATTTTCTTTTTTTCTGAAAAAAAGTTGTTTGGCTGCTATACTCGGATACATTTGTCATTTCACAGGAGTAAACAATGCCATGTTTATGGCAGAATCAAAAATTACTTCTGAGCCATAATTCTATTTTTTTCTTTAGTGTGAAGCCTTTTGTTATACAAAATGTTTGTAGCATATAATGATAAATGATTTGAAATATAAAAAAAGCATGTGCATGCCATAGAAACAATCTATAGTAAGCACAGAAACAGACTATTGAACAAGAAATGCTAGAATCACCACAATATGATTTATATAAGCAAACTAAGGCTGGAATACAGAACCATCTTGCACATTTAATTCTCAGCATTAATATTTTAAATACTGTACAGAAACCTAATGGGCCTACAGTATTTCATTTTTTTTAATGAGAATTTATGTTGCCATCGTTAACTAAATTTCACTTTGTACTAAAGGCAGCAGTTTCAAAACAAATCTTAAAGTACTGTATATCATGGGTCTACATTATATTTGTGACCTTCTCACTTTGCAAGTTCCTCTTAAATGAAAAATGAAATGTTTGGAAAGTATTGGTGGCTTAAACAACTTTTGCACATCACCCCAAAATAAAATCAATATAATTACTTTAAAATGTCATTGGTGATAGTCCCCTAATAAACTTTTGCTCAGGGGTTTTATCTTTAGCCAGAAGCATTTTATCCATTACAACTTCCTCTATAAAATTAATTGGTTTTATTTCTACATGAAAAAATTACACTCAGCCTGATGTGGTATTTTCTGTACTAAATATCAAAGAAATAAAATAATAATCAATAATTATTTTTTAAGAGGAAAGGAATGAAAAAAAAGACGAGCAACTTCCCTTGCCAAGTTTCTTCCCCATATATAGTAAAAGAATGGCCCAGCATCCTACTCACCAGTATTTCCAATAACCTGTGCTATATCAGTCTGAGACAGATCCCAGTCAACTTCACTGTCTACTTCTTCTTTAAAAGTAACAGAAAGGCAAGAAAGTAAGTGAAAAGAGAAAGGCCTTACTGATACAATAGAGAATGACATTCTGTAATTCCAGATAATATTCCACAAGAAAATAACTGAAACGTACTTTTGGGATTAGCAAAGAAATTTGGTGGCTGAAGGCAACACATCATTAGTCATATAAATTTGATAATAGAATATAAAGCATAACAGGATAATCAGTAAAAAATAAGGTCAAATGATGTGTTGTACTGTACACAGTGTGGGAAATTTATATATATATATGCTGTTAACCAATAAACCTCATGCTAATTAGTACTTATCTAACATTTCAAATAAAGTTTTATTTCCAAACCTTTGCAACAGCAGTCAAAAATAATGATGGCAACATTTATTTAAGAAAACCTCTCAAACTCATTTAATGCTAAAGGATTCAAAACAATAAGAACTTGTATTTGGAACAAGTGATGAAAAGGTTCCAATGAATGCAATACCCTTTCCAGCCTTCACATTAATGGTATTAAACCTTGGAAGAAGGACAGTTTAAGATTGTTTCAGGTGATATTATAGCACATAGCTAAAGGGTACCGCACAATAAATGTCACTGCATATACTTTATGATGTAATTTTGTAGGGACTTGTGCAGGATCCTGGACTAATTCTATGTTCAGTATAACATGAATTTAAAGTCCTTCTGCATGCGTTTTCTGGCATCCAGTGGCCTGGAATACTTCTAATGTGCACCATAAATGCTGGAAGGAATTCTTTGATGTCTTATGAAGAGAAAGAATGTGTTTAGGCTTTGTAAAAATAGGAAAGAAAATTGCCTGCTTAATTTAGTAGACTATTATGGAAAAAACATGTCAGCACTTGAATCAAGCTAGAAAACTGGTCAAGGCATTAGCCCCAGTATCGCTGGGGTCATCTGAAGACACAAAGACCTCCTGCAGACATCTGTTCTTTAATTATACCTCAGATGTTTTTTTTTTCTCTAGTTGGATATTCTGGGAGGTAGGGACACATCTGGGATAACTGCAACCATAAAGTCAACGCAAATGCTAAATTGATCTGAGAACCTGGATTTAAAAATTCACCGGCAACAAATAAGGAGGTTGAGCACTACGTAAAGATGTTTGTTATCTGCTGTCAGGACTTATGAGGCTTCATTCTCTGCTTAACAAACATAACAGTTAAACAAATCTCCTGAAATAGTGTTTTTCGACTGTGTGGCACATTAACATAACAAAAACCTAAACTATTACAGAATACATGACCATTCATTAAAGATTGGGGTATCAAAGACACTTGCAAAACTTTTTTCATGACACGGAAACAAAAGAGCAATTTTAGTGTATATGGAATGACTGTTTACCATGATCTTAAGCTTCATTTTTTAAGCACACAAATGGTCAACAAAATAACTTGGTCTTCACAAATCACAGTTTCACTTAAGAAATGCTGTCTGGATTCACAGAAATTCACTTTCAAAACAAGCACTATCTAAATTCATGCTAAAAGAAAACATGCAGCAGGACACAAGAGCAAAGCCGTATGAACACTCTAAAACAAAGGCTATGATTTTTATTTCAGATTATGTTTTTAATCAAATTCATCATTATTTAATTAACTATTTGTTTAGCACTATTTAATATTCATTCAGTACTTAGTACCACACAATCAAAATGCTTTACAGGAAGCTGTGATGCAGTAACGTGTGTTGCATGTGACATCACAAAATGACACTGCATGGGATAGGGTGAGGTTCAGTTCTTTCTACTCTTCCATTTTGCCACTTGTGGTGAAATAAAATTTGCCAGTTCTTTTAGACTTGTGATCAATTTTGGGGCTCAGTTTCCAGACATTTTTACAGCGCAGTATGTCTATTTTGATGTCACAGGCTAATTACTCCAGTTACCACAAAATGTAACATCTCCTATCTATGGGTGATTTCCAAAGGTTGAATTTGTCAGCTATGTAAAATATTATAAAGTTCCACAGTCCTCATAATATCCTGTTTGGGACATGGCTGTTACCACATTAAAACTTTCCCTTTTCCTCTATGTCTTTATAAATACCATTCTTTTTCAATGCATTTTGGAGTGCGTGGTAACACTTGTGTTGCAAATATCAACATTGATATTTTACATACAGTTTGTTTCTATTAAGATATAATAACTGAACTATGTTGTGCTGCATATATTAATTCTAAACTCTATTTTGATACAAGGAGATAAAAAAGAAGCATGCAATTTTTCCCCAAAACAAGTAAAAACATAGCAAAGGTCGGAATTTCTGTGTGATAAGAATTTAATCTTTGAAACTCAATGAATACGATATGTTTTTAAATGCATATAAACACCAGAATTTTGATATACAGCCAAATAGAATACCGGTAATATACATACATTTTAAAAAGCAATTTGTCAGACTCAAATGGATACACACCCAAATCAGACTGGAATTAAACACAATAAAAGTCAATAGACATAACTGTCTTTTACGGTCAGATTACTGTTATACTAGCATTGTCAAACTGTGATTATTTTCTGCAATAAGTATATAATAATTTAAACCTTTAAACCTATTTAAACCTTTTTTTTTTTGCTCTCAAGCAGAAACCAAGTCTGGAGGCATGTTAGGAGCCTCTGTATTGTTCTGTTACAGACTGAACTGCATCAAATATACAGTACTGAGCATCAAAAGAAACTTCACTGTGAATTAAACAAAATCACAAATTATTTTGAGGAAAATTATAATGTTTTTGTAGCAAGCCCATTTACATCTCACTTAGTAGATGTGTCAGTTAAATTCATTATGCTAATTAACATTTTCATCAACAAGATTAATAATAATAATAATTGCTTACACTTATATAGCGCTTTTCTGGACACTCCACTCAAAGCGCTTTTACAGGTAATGGGGTCTCCCCTCCACCACCACCAATGTGCAGCCCCACCTGGATGATGCGACGGCAGCCATAGTGCACCAGAACGCTCACCACACATCAGCTATTAGGGGAGGAGAGCAGATAGTAATGAAGCCAATTCATAGATGGGGATTATTAGGAGGCCATGACTGGTAAGGGCCAATGGGAAATTTGGTCAGGACGCCAGGGTTACACCCCTACACTTTTCGAGAAACGCCCTGGGATTTTAAATGATCACAGAGAGTCAGGATGTCTCATCCGAAGGACGGCACCTGTAGTGTCCCCATCACTATACTGGGGCATTAGGACCAACGTGGACCACAGGGTGAGTGCCCCCTGCTGGCCCCACTAACACTTCTTCCAGCAGCAACCTTAGTTTTTCCCAGGAGGTCTCCCATCCAGGTACTGACCAGGCTCAGACCTGCTGAGCTTCAGTGGGTTGCCAGTTGTGAGTTGCAGGGTGATATGGCTGCTGGCAAATATCATCCTGATATTTGATTGATCAACTGAAGGTCTGTGTGAATGTCACAGGCTAGAAGTATAGTGTGAGTAACCACCGATGGAATATATTCTATTTACTACTTTATATAAGATATATACATTTGTATACATTCTTTTCTCTGTGTTGCAAATGCTATCTTATGAGATTCTGCTCCATTCTTCTTATGGAGTCCAAACAAGCAGGCACCTGTTCACTGGCCTCTGAGTCCTAGATTCCCCACATTATCCCAAATATGTTCATGGGTCTCTTGGCAAATAGGACATCCTCTGTGTAACTGTCTCATTCGCTGACAGTTGCACAAAGAAAGCACATGGAGTCAGCCTGCTGTAGAAACATACATTCACAGAGTCTCTTTTGATGCTCAGTAAAGACACTGTTCTCAATTACACCTTGTGGAATAACGCACCCTTCAAAGGGTACCTGGATAAGCCTATTAATATCTCTAAACCAACAACAGCAAGTGACCACAAGGCAAATGGTTCTGAGCTATGTCACAAACCATACAGAATCTGTATGCTGACATTTCTATGGGGAATCGAAAATAGCAAATCTATCTCCCATTAAGGTAGGTTCATAGGGTATACTCAATATAAAGTCTACAATTTCAAAGAAAATGTTTAATTCTATGTGCTGGTCTTTTCAAGGCTCTAACTGATGACCATCAATCAAGTATCATATTTTTATATTATTATAGTATAATATTATTTACATTCAAATATCTGATTTGGGTGTAAATCCAAATGTATGAGCTTTTATTTAATTAAATCATTCTATTTTATGTTGTATATGTGTATTTTAGCACCAAATTTACAAAATATATTTTAAGATGTTGAGTTTTTAAAAATATCTCTGTATACGGTACATATTGTATGCAGGTAGTTCTCAATTTACACACTCTTAACTTTCATGGTTTATTGTTTTCTTCTGTTTAGTGTGCCTGAAGCATATACTGTGCGCTACCTCTTAATTCAGCATAAATTAGTTCTCACTTTAGCATACTTCAGTGTGGCAAGGAAAAGGCCACTTGGCTGGATGTTCTAGATGAGTGCTGCACATAGCAGTTGTGAATCTAAATATATGGGTGACACCCAGACAGACATCTAAATATTCAATAAATAAAACAGGCCCTAACTTATAATTATTTAAAATAATAAAAAAGAAAAAATGTGGAATGTGACTCATGATACTTTAAACTAAACAGCTTTTTAAAGGATCACTGGGACTGAAAGGACTGGAGATAATTGCACAGATGCCCTGTGAGACTCTTCCAGTCTTGTTCACTTCCTACCTATCCCTGTGCATTTTACATGAAAATAAGAAAGATTAACAAACATTTAAATTTCCATTTAAGCGTTTCTAAGTTATGCTGCATCTTTCAATAACACATTTGCTGTGTAAATCAAGAACCACCTGAATCTGAGTAATTCAGTATTGAAATAAACACAGAAATTCACTATTAAAGGGGAACAGTGAGGCACACAACACCAGTTACACAGCCTTCAGTAAACAAAATAGGGTCTCCATTCTAACTGCTGGCACTGTTCAGTAGTGGGTTTGCTCGGCTGTCCTCTGTTTATGCAAAGCAAACACATATATCAGGGCAAGGCCCTAAGTCCATATCTAACATCTTGCCTGCAGGACTTGTAAGGCTATGAGTACTGATGGCTGTAAGGGCTTTGGAAAACCCCACACATTCCATGGAAAACACTACTACCTGCTGAGGACTAGGGATAGGAAACTGCCTTCCTGCCAAAACAGAAAAAGTCTTACCATAAGTGAAGTTAAAATATACTTACACAACTCTGCACCGCCGAACAATGTGTTTTTACACATTTACACCAGAAAAATAATACTAAGCATATTGCATAGATACATTTCATTTTGCATCTATTTTCTTCAGGACTAAATATTTAAAGAATGATGACTTATGAGTAGATTCATTTTCAACTTGTGACTCCAAGATTTCATACCATGAAAACAGACATGTATTAGCTGTAGGGTCTTGCACTGTTTAATGAACCTAGTGTTTAATGGTGTATCTAATGCATCTTCCAATTAGTAACACAAAAGAAACAACCACACACTAAATGAATGCTGATTTTAGTATTAGTAGTGTCATTTTTTAGGCTTTAAAGTTTGTATTTCAGTAACATTCCAAATATTTAGCTCACACAGCTCAACATAAAGTAGCATATGTAAGCTAGCATTTACAACACTAAATTAAGTTTATATGAAAAAAACTGTTTAATGTCTGACAGTTAAATAAGATTTTATGTAGTGGAAGACCCAGAATGTCAACAGAAAGACTCAAAGTTTACAATCTTTGTAGTATAATTATTATACACGGATTATATGATATATTATATTAGTATAATAACAACTATTTGTATATACAGTTTACGTATAATGTGGTAACACAACAAAAAATAATCTTTTTAATGGAACAGTACAATTGTGACCATAAAACCCTGTTTATATTCCATTTACTGCATTGTGCACCAACCTGAGAAGGGCTTAGCCAAGCTCTGCTTTTCACCAGATGGAATCCGAGCTCCGCCGCCAAACACAGCTGCCCACATCTTACTGTTGAGTGGATGGGCCACAATCCGGAAGAGCTCGTTACTAGAATGTGTTGCCAGGCCATGCACAAAGAGGCTGAGAAAAACTGCAGTCAAAATCTCGCAGAGGAGGACTGTCAGGCCAGGCTGATCTTCCTCCCCAGAAGAGTTTAAAAGATGTATGAGAGATCCAATACCTGCAATTCGCAAAATGAGGCAGATGAAAAAGAATCTCCGTGCAGCATGACTGCCATTTAAAATGAAGAAGTAATCATGTCACAGGAGGACGTTCATGAAATGCCATCTATGGCATGTGTCAATTAATATTAAAATATTTCTGTTGCCATAAATTCACACAATGCTATTACAGTGCATTCTATCAAAGAACTGATAAACAAGGCATAACATCTGTGTTTCGCATTATATACCCTTTTCCTCTCCAAAATTTTAAATCCATGGACTCATCCTGAATAACGTTTGGATCTAAAAACAGAGACTGCTTTGCAAATATTGTAAACATTTTAGATACAAACAGGTAGGAATACATATGTTCATTATGGGCATCAACTATTAACAGAAAACCTCTAATGTTTTCTACTACTAAAAACTAACATCTCTAGCTCTTATAAATAGAGATGAGAACTGTGATTTAGCAATCTGTAATTCACCAATATAAATCGGAACCATGAAAAATGTGTTGATTGCAATTCATGGTAGTAACTGTAGTAACTAAAACAACACATTTACCCTACAAATTTAAATCGACTCACTGTAAAGTGATCCTCATAATTAACCAACTATCCTCTATACACACATAACAAAATACATATCAAGATTAACTGAGACATAACTGAGAGGTCAAAGATATTTCAACAGAAATAAACAACATAAAAATGAGTGTACCTACCAGGCCACTGTGCTGGAAAGGTATTGGGGGTGACGGCCTCATCCATACTAGTTGTTCGCACTGGATGTTGCTGCGCCAGCAGGAAACTTTGGTAGACGATGCCAGTGAACTGGTTAGCATGTGAAGCACTGGAAAACACCATGTCAATAACAGTGACCATTTTAAGCAAGAATGTTCAAATCAAAATTCAATTGCTATGTTAAATTATTTAAGTTGGGATAGTATAAGTTTCCTTAGGTAATGAAAGACATACTTGCATTTCTACAAATATTTTCAGATTTTCTGTGTGGAATTTGCCAAATGCTTCTTAAACCACTTATTTTATTTTAATAATAATATATATATATAATAATATATATTGCAAATTAGAGCATTCAAAATCTGTAAGTGTTGATATACATATTATTGGATAAATATGCATTTAATACAGTATGTGTAATATAAAAAATCGTATTATGAAAAAAACTTGGCACAAGAATATGTATTATTTCAGCCTAATGGGAGATTTAGTCAGGTATCACTCATTTACAAAATAACAGACATTAAATTAAACATTAAGGTCATGCAGTTATGGTTGATTATTCTATACTGTACATAGGTAGTATAGGAGTCTCAAAGCCAACAAAGAAATGTATAAGACTTCCTTCCTTTTTAAACCTTCAGCTGCACAAAACTTAAAAATGAAAATTTCACAACCTTTAATTTTCTATGGCACACTGTAGTGACTATAGAAGGTCAAAACAAAGGTAAAATTAATTAGTATTTTATGTGTCACAATTTAAGGCTTTTAGGCCACAAAACGTTTTACTTTGGAAAGGGTGTGCATACTTAGGTCATGTATATGTTTTATAGCCCACTTTGACTTTGAATGTTAATTCCAGCGTGGTATGGTAAATGGAAAAAATAACTTTCTCCATTGTTGTAGAACATAGCTCTAATATGTATTAAATTAAGAATA